AAAATAATTTAATTACATTTCATAAACCGACAAGTTTAGGAACTATTGATGATACTAACTATGTAAAGAAAACTGGAGAGACATTACAAATTGTAGATGGTGCTGTTGTAGTAGGTGGAGGTGTCCAAAATGGAACGGATACATTAACAGTTAATGGAACGGCTTATGTTTCAGGAAATGCTACTGTTAATGGCAATTTTTACATTACTCCTAATGGATATATGTTTAATGCTGGTGCTGCGGGAGCAGGGGCAAGGTCTTTTAATTATGTTGTTCTCGGCACTACTGGCAGTATTCACCAGTTTTTCATTGGTAATGCTAATAATTTACGGGTTCAATTTGCTTGGAATGATTGTTATTTTACACCTAATGTTGTTTGCTTTGCTTCTGTTAAATCTAATGCCATTGATACACACAATGACAGCGATTTAATCTTTAATAGAAACGGAGTAGAATTTATGAAATTTGAACGAACATTAGGTCAAGTAGAAATGACAGTAGGTGTAAAATCTAATACTTATGATAGTATAGGTAATGCCGATGTAGCATTTAGAAGAAACTTTGTTGATTTCTTATATTTAAGAAATGGATATGTTGAAGTTAATAGTGGAGCTTCATTATGGTCTGCTAATGCTTTAATGAATAATATTGATACTGCCGGTGTTAGTGATATGACTTTTAAAAGAAATGGTGTTGATTATCTTTATTTAAGAAACGGATATGTTGAAGTTAATGCCAGTTCTTCATTATGGTCTCCTAATGCAAGAATAAATGATATTAATACAACAGGGGATACTGATTTAGTATTTAAAAGAAACGGCGTTGAGTTTTTGAGATTTGACGGTCCTAATACCGTGACGAATGGTCCGGAAAATTTATTATTAGTTAATGATATTAATGTTGGTATTTCTTCCAGTTGGGTATTTGCAAATGTATTTGCTAATAGAACAGGAGACACTGACACGGATTTTAGAGGAGCAATTCCAGCAGGGTTGGATAGTGGAATTGTTTATATGACTTATGAACATGCCACTGAAAATTTACATATTAAAACTGATGTTGAAATAGACCAAGATAAAAAATTATACATCCATAAACAAACAGGAGCAAGTTGTCATATCAGTTCTACAAATATAGCGTCAGTCAATCATACAACTTTTGAAAATGAAGATATTAACGGCGAATTACGGTTTAGAACTAATGGAGGAACTAAAATGTATATTAGAGCTAATGATTTGCTAGTGGGAGCTGGTTATGTATTTAGCGGTGATTTTAACGATACTTCTGATAAAACTAAAAAATATGATATTAAAGATGCTGAATATAATTTTACTGAAATTATAAAACAAATAAAACCAAAAACTTTTAAAATGAAAGATGAAAAAGAAATAGGTATAACTAAAAACCATATAGGGTTCGTTGCTGATGATTTAGTGCCGGTATTACCAGAAGATATTGAAAATATTGTTAATGTAAATCAAGATGGAATTAAAACATTGAGTTATATGAAATTAACCAGTATTCTATGGGGTGCTATGAAAGAGCAACAAACAAAAATAGAGCATTTAGAGGCAAAGATGTTTGAGATGATGGAAGAGATAAACCTTTTGAAGAAACCTAAAACAAGAACCAGAACAACAACGGCAAAAACAACTACATAAGATATAAAAATATCTAATATAATTATATGGGTAATAAAAATACAATAGTTGAAAACACTTGTATTGAAGAATTAACAAACATAAATGAAAATGATTTAGATATATCAAACATAGACAAGTTGCAGATTAAAGCAATAAAAGAAATGAACAATAAAATCAAGGAAATTGAAGAAAAAAATCTGATAGAATAATGTATAAACTACCTGCTATTCAACTTTGTAGTTGGAGTTTAATTTAATAATATTATCAAATAATAATATTATTAATTTAAATGTATAGCCTTCTCTAATCTTTTCTTTTCCCTGTTTTCTTTTACTCGTTGTTTTACTTTTTCTTTGTTTTTTTCATACCATTGCTGTTTGGATAGTCTAACTTGTTCTTTATTTTTTTCTCTATATTCTTTATCATTAATTTTCTTTTCTTCCCTGTGTGTTTCTCTATACTCTTTCATTTGCTGTTTCTTGTATTCAATATTTTCATAGTAATAGTTTTGTCTGTATTTTTTTAACCGTTCTTCATTTTCCTTCACATATTCAGCATTAGTTCTTGATGGCACATTATGGTTCAATGTTGAGTGTTCTTGTTCTTTGTAAAATCTGTCTCTACTTCTTGCCACCATTCCATTTTCACAGTTTTCAGTTTTTAATAAAATCATTTCCCAGTTGTCCCATCCACCGTTTTCTCTAATGAATTTATAAACTTTAATATTGTAATGCTTATCATTTTCCATATAGCAATGTTTTTTATGGTCGCTTTTTCTTCTTTTAAAGTCAGTAGTATGACCTACATAACAGTCCTTTATATTAAAGTCTTTACATACAATTTTGTAGAAGTGAGTTTCACTGTAATCTATTGGTTTTCTTGGCATTTGTGTTATATAGTGTTATAAGATGTTATATCTTTAAATACATTTTTTAATTAATATGAATTTCTGCTTCCAGTCTCTTCATAAATATCTTATTCACATTACTCTCACGAAGTTTAACAAACAGAAATGAATATGGTTCTTCTGTTGCTAATCTGTATATTTCATATAAAGTTTTCTTATCAACTAATGCTGATTGTTCTTCTATAAAAGTTTCAATTTCTTTCATATTTTTGAGTTTGAAAATGTATAATGAAGATGTATTTAATCTAACAATCGGCGCCAAGGCGTTATATTTCTGGGTTGCTGTGATTACTGATAATCCAAAGTGTCTAGATTTAGTATATAAACCGTGTAATACCTTTGAATATTTCATAAAAATACGGTCCTCTGCAAAGTCATCTATAATCAATAAGCAACTGAAAAGTTTTTTCATTTTATTCTTCTTTTGATATTCAATTACTTTGTGTTGTGTGTCTATTATTTTTTGTAGTGCATCTCCATCATACTCATCAAATAAAAACTGTTCTTTTTTATTATCTACATTCAGTTCTTTTTGTATGTATTTTATTACTTCTTTGTAAGCTTCATCAATGTGTGCTGTTGGGCTCACTATCCAGATACGCTCAAAGCAGTCTCTGTAAATCTTCAACACTAGATTTTGGATGAGTATGCCTTTACCACCTTGAGATGCTGAAACAATGATACTTCTAAAAGGCAACTTATCCGCTTGAGGGTATGGTGATTGCTTGAATTCATACTGCTTTACATTGATTGGTTCAATCTTAGGAACATCTAATTTTTTCATTAATAAGATTTAGAAATAAAATTATATAATATATTATTGATATTGAACTTCATTGAAGAACAGTAGCACAGAATGAAGACGCTGTCAATCCTCATAAGTAGTAATTAGTTTGATGCATAGCGCCCCTCCCTAGAATTCACGATGACTAAGCAAAACGAAAATGGACAAGATGTGGCTTACTTTCCCCAAGTCCCAATAAGCGTATAATTAGATTTTATGAAATGTAATATCTAATTATATTTAATGGTAGTTATTGACGAATACGCCGAAGGCCTATTGAATTCCAGCAGTGCTGGAATTGAATACGAAGAGATTATAGATAATATAGAAACACTGATTGATGATGATATTAAATTTCCGGTTGTTGAAGATGGACGGATTAAACTGTTATTGAAAATGTTTTTTGAATTTGTAAAATTTATAATAAATTATATCACTATTAATATAGATGCCACCAAAAAGACCGAAAGCAAAAGCCACTAGCAAATTTAAGAAAGAACCAATCCCTGAAGATTTTGAATTAAGTGATGATGAACCTACTACAGTAAGTTTTAATAAAGAACAAAAATTGACCAGTAAAAATATCGTGTTTGACTGCCCACTGTGCCACGGTAAATTACAGATGAAAAATGAAATTGAAATAAACCCTAAGGGGGTAAAATGTTCTTGTAATCCTTGCAGTTTTAAAATCAGCAAAAGCGATAAAACAATGAATGTTAGTAAGGATGATGAGGGGGGTATTACATTAGATAGTGAAGTTCATAGCATTTCATTCAGTTTTAATAAACAAATCACACCTGAAAGCGAAGATGAAAAAACAAGAAACAAAATGATAAGTGATGTTATGGGAACTCCACGGAATAGCAAAAAACAACAAAACTCACTCAATGATTTAGAATAATAAATATTTAAAAATGTATTATTAAATAATTAAATAAATATTTAGAAAGTTCTAATTTATGATATATCCTTATGAGCCCATGTGAGGTTGATTACAATATGCTAAGCCAAATCTATGAGCACACCAAAAATAACAGTAAAATGTTATCTTCTATATTATCAAAGCTGAATGAACATATGGAGAGTAAAGAGGTTGAAGATAAAGAAGCAGATAAAAAGAAGATTGAAGAAATCTTTGAAAAAAGGGGCGTAGGTAAGCCCCGTGGAACATTTGAGGAAAAGCAAAAACAGTATTTTGAAATGGTGAAGTCTGGAAAGGTTAAAAACCCCGTAGCCAAAACTTTAGACTACTACCACATTATGAAAGATGAAAGGGGTGAGTATATCATAAACCTTTTGCCAAAATAGTTTCATAACAAAATCCAAACATATTGTTATGAAAATTAGCAAATGTTTTTCTCTCACACCTTCCCCCCTCCCATAATCCCCAGCCCAACATACACAAGAACACACAAACAAACATCCCCTCCCACAGGGTGGAAGATGGACAAGCCTTACAAGTAGGTAGGTAGATAAGTGGTGGATGTAGATGAATAGATGAGGTTTGAGCGTGTTTTTTGTGAATTTTAACACTTGGGGTTTGATTGTGGAAGCATTGCTGTCGCCACGGCTCAAAGTCGATGACATACAACTGCAGCATTGGCATTTTCTGATTTACTGCCCCAAAATTTTGCACTTTGACTTGTAGTCCCGATTTGCATCCACAATGCGTCGCAATGCTGTTCGCTTTATGCTGCTGTTTGTTTCGTTCTGCCTTTGGCACTTTCGGCCACCTCATGTATCCTTTGCCCAATCACCACGGCAGCCCAAACTATTGGAGCAGAAACTCTCCGAGGTGTCCTCTGACAAAGTTTCAGACTGGATTAAGGTACAAATTGAAGATTTGGGATATGGTTTCGACATCGCAGAGAAGGTTGGCCAGGCTTTGTCTGGTTTTACACGGCAGGTTCTGATGAGGATGTCTCGTGATGATTTGTTTTCGGAGCTGGGAAGCACAACCATTGATGGCAATATGAAAAGAGCACTTGCGCGCGGTCTGAACTTGTGCATTCAAGCTGCTCCTCAACCACAACCACTACAACCAGTTTCTTGGCAAAGGTCATATGTTTTTTGTTGCATTTGTTTGACGCATTCAAAAGCAGGTAAGGGTCAAAAATAAGGCGGTTCATCGTGTTTTGATGCGGTGTCTCCGGGATGTGTCAGGTAGCAACACCTTCTGAGACGGACAAACCTTTCGCATTGGCATTGGATGATGCGAAGCTGGATGAGAGCGGGCGAATGCTCACAACTGAAAAGGGCAGTTTCAAGCGACAGAGCACGTCTGAAATTTGGAATGAGAAGAAATTCTATATTCGGGAATGCTACCAGCACATTGCCGACCTCATGTTCCAGAAGAACCCCCCTGCCATGTCCCTGCTGGGCTCATCAGGAATTGGGAAGTCCAACTTTATGATTTATCTCATTTGGCGACGCTTTCAAGACCCAGAGCTCAGCAAATTTCCTGTTTTTCTGCACCGACTAGACAAAATCACGCAGTTTAAAACAGGTGAGGAGCCACTGGAGGTTGATGTCAGGACATTAAGGTCAGCACCGAGCCAAGCGTTGTATATCATGGATGCGGACAATCAATACGAATGCTATGTTGATTGCCAGTCCTTGTGGATTACATCGGCAAGGAAACCAGAGAGCCCAGCATTCAATACCGAACATTTCAAGCATGCCAACAACTGTTGTGGGGAGTTCTTTTTGCCACCATGGACTTTGGACGAAATGCTGGATGCCAAGGCTATGCCCCTTCATGGACTGCCACAGCAAGTAGTTGAAGAGCGGTTTGGCATCTTTGGGGGCACTGCACGGTTTGTATTGCGCACTGATGAAAATTTGGTCCAAAAGGACAGGGAGAGGCTTGAAGGCGCTTTGAATAGTGCAGACGCGCTCTCAACTCTGGAGATAAGTTCTGACATGAAGGCAATCAGCAAGAACACACACCTTCTGGTAAAGATGTATCCCAAGAGAAACTTTTCCTTCTTTGATGTCAATGTGTCGTCTCCTTATGTTTGCCAAGAGTTGGTGAAGAGAAACTGGCAAAAACGAAGGAAAGCTCTTTGGGAGCGTATAGAGGAGGGGAGGATTACAGGCATTGGGTTTGCCTTGTTTGAAGAGGCATTTCATCAGTTCATGCAGGACCAGAAGCTCCCCAAGGTCAAACTCCGAGCCAGGCGCCTCACTAGGGATGGAACACAAAGTGATACAACAGTTGGATTCACAGGTGGGCTTGACGGAGTGCTTATTACAGGCAATCCCAAGCCAGTCATTGAGGCTGGCAAGTACTACCAGCCAACAAGCAAGACATTCCCGGCCTTTGACGCATGGACTTCAGAGGGTTTGTTTCAGATGACAGTCGCTGCCACACACAAAATCAAATTTCCCGAAAAAGGGGAACCGGGACAACAGGCATCCAAGGTTGCCGTCGAGGCTGCGAAGAAGCATGGTGGCAAGGTCAAGTTCTACTTCGTTGTTCCTTCGTTTCAGTTCGATGGAGGCTGGAAAGGGGTGCAGAAAGTTGATTTTCCGGAAAATCCGGAGATGGAAGACAAGATTGAGCAATGGGTAGTATGCTTTGAGGAGAACCTTCCAAAGTGAAGTTGAGAAAGCAAAAGAAGAGGTTTGTAGCTGGGGAGTGGCGTATCAAAGAACCAGCTTGAGATTGGAAATTCAAATAATTCAATAAACCGCACCTTGCCCAACAAAATACCACATAAATTATAACATAATTTTTTGGGATGATGTATAGTGGGCAAGGTTATGCTGTTAGAATTTTGGAGGTTGGGTTTGTGGTTGGTTTCTGTTTTGGTTTTATGGATTTTTGTTTGATTAATATTGTTTATGTAAATTTAGGCGGGCAATTTTTCAACAAGACAAGTCTTGTTGAAAAATTGGAGTTGTATTTGGATTTAGGTTTATGGTTGATTGTTATGATTGGTTTGGGGATGGGATGTATGTGATTGGTGTTGATGATATATTTGCTGGGGTGTATGTGGTTGATTGTTATGATTTTGTTGGGTAGGGTGTATGTGGTTGATTGTTATGAAATGTTGTGAAATGTTGTGTATGTTGTGTGCATGTTGGGGGATGTGAGGTGTGGGGTTCAGGGTTGGAAGATGGGCAAGGCCCATTCTAACTTTAACATATGAGCAGTGTGAAAGATTTCATGATGCTCTCCAGGACCAAATTTTGCCTGACAGCGAATGACAAGTCACAAAAAAAGATGCTGCTCAGTACATCTCAGTACCTTTAGATAGATATATGATATATATATATATATATGTAAATCTGGCATGGTCTGTTTGAGATTGGGGTAGCCCTAAATTGACCGGTCGATCTCTATTTTCCTTATTCAGCTGTTGGGAGGGATGGGGAGCCAAGGAGCTCCCAGGAAGGTGGTAAATCCAACGCCCTAAACCTACTATTTGGGGATGACATCTACCACCCATAGAAATGGTAATATTGGGGATGGTTTATTGGGTTTTACCACATTATATTTATTACTATATAGTATTATTATTATTATCATTTTTATTATTATTTATTATTATTATCATTATATATATATGTATAATATTATTCATACCATCCCCATGTTCTTTTCCATCCCCAGTTTGGAGACGCCATGTCATGGGTAGGTGGCCAACTGGGACGATTTCATTGCTCCAAATCCCATCGACATTCTTGGCGTGACTCCTGGTCCAATACAGCCTGAGTCGACTTAGCTGACATGAGGCTATTTACCAACATACCCTCTGTTAAACAGCCACATAACTATGGAAAGATCCACCATGCTATTCATGGGAAAATCCACTCATAGCTATGATTAGCTATGTTAAATTACCAGAGGGTAAATTCGTGATTACATATATAGTAGCCATATGTATTTTTGTGTGTGTGTGCGCGCGTGTGAATAAAAACACGAATGTAGTATCTAAATTAGATTGATTTGTTGCTATTTGGACGGCTGATGATGGCGGTATAAATCCCAATCAGCTAAAACTTGATGAAACACGGGGTATCTCAGATGGGTTATTTACAAACTGTCACTATGTAATAATACTGAAATAGCTAATTTGTTGATGTTTAGAAATGTGTGTGTGTGCGTGTGTGTGTGTGTTCACGAACATCACCAGTGAATGCCGCAGAGGCAGTGTTTTTTCCATCCCTTTTTTACATGAGATTTGCTGCAAGGGTTGGTCATGGTTCAGAACATTGCAAATTACAGGGGGAAATGCTGCTAAGTTATGTTGAGCCATGTTTTTCTTGAATGGTTTTCCAACATGTTCATTCCCAGACAAACCCATATGTCCCCATTCTAAGGAAATTGCGAAGAATGCTTACTCATCAATTGCGGATGGGCCAGCGCCTCAGTTTCTCCTTAGTTTGGTTTGACTGACGTACTTGCAAGTGGGCGAACGGCAAAACAAAAAATGGAACGAGACACACAAATCCAGTGCTGGATGTTGTCTTCGCACCTGGTCGAAGTACCCTCTGGTAAACTAACATAGCTATTGAAAATGGTCATTGATAGTGGATTTTCCCATGAAAAATGGTGGATCTTTCCAGTTCGCTATGTTAGTCATAACCAGAGGGTATGTTGAAATCAGGTGACACTCCTCACATCCAGCAGCTCTTGGCAAGTCAAGTTACACAGCAGCATGGAATCGACATGGCCCAAAGCCTTGAGAGATTGGAGAGCCTGGGCCCATGACCAGCCCATGACCTGATGATTTTGCTATGTGATTGCCACGTTTCTCCCGTGGAAGACTCACAAGTGTTGGTTATTTGCACTTTAAAACCCATCCAGATTTTGGAAAACATCCATACCTCATGGGTCCTGTGATTTGACCCCAGGCATCCTCAGTCTGAGAGGATCTCATCACAGGTCAAGGTACCACGAACTCATCAGATTTCAATCTCGTTTGGATCCCAATTTCTCCGTATGCCCTGGCAATTTTTGTGGCAGTAACCCAGCCGGATCTCCCACTTGTTGTTTCTCCAAATTGCGGCGTTTTTGTTGCATTCTCGAGCTTTCTGTCAGTTTGATTCCAGATTTCTTGAGAGGTGTTAACTTCCCCTAGTTTCCCCATCTTTTCACAGCCAGGATTGTCAATTGGCTCTGGATGAACGGCCGGCTCTTCTTCCACAGCGCTGGTATGCTGAACCAACTGGGCGGGGCGCCAGCATGGCATGAGCGGATCGACATGCTGAGTCCGGACTTGGAGGTCAACATGGGATGGGATGCAGAAACCCGTGGCCCATGTCTCTAGGGGGGTTAAGCTACACAACCATATGACAAAGATGATTCTAATGGTTTAAAATTGTTTAAGTTAATTATATGGATGCTTTTTAGTGGGGGATGATGGGGATAAAAATGGGGATCCAATATGAGGCAGATGAGTTTGTCCTGGCACTTGGTGGATGCGAACATGAGGTTTGAGATGACATGTTCAAGCGCAGGTTCGTTACTTTGTTTGTAATGTTTTATCACTATATGGTTATCATCATGTGATTTACAATATTATTAATGTCACATGTGGCTTTGTGTGTCAAAACCTATATTACCATACTTGGAAGGATGGAACCTCCATAAATTCCAGTCTATTTTGATGTTCACAAGGGTACAACAAACTTTAACCCATAGTGTGCGTAAGCTGCGTGTGGCCAGGTGGGTTGGTGGTGCTTCTTCCACGAGCTGGCCCCTCAGCAGCAGACTCTCAGAGGTGGGCTTTGAGCCATCAAAATGGACATTTACCCATGAAAATGGGGAGGAACTGAGTGTTTAATATGGTTCAATCATGTTCAATCACCAAACATGGGGATTGATAATTTCTGATCAGTTGGTTTGTAACTAGATTAACTGCTGAATTCTGTTCTGGATATATTTGTTAGATGGTGTCTTTAAGCAACAAACATCACTCGGCCTTTCCTGTGGTGACCTACGCCCGAGGATGCAGTGCTGCCCGACGGGCTTTTTTACTTGATCTTGAAGAAACCCTACTGGCTTTCGCCGCTCAAGGGTACAGGCATGGATCGAACTGGTTGCTTCAAACAAAAGTATCTCAACCCAGAAGAAACACAACAATATTATTGCGGAGTATTGTTCCATCCGACTTGGGATAATCATCCCAACTTTTCTTTTCTGCAAATTGTGTATTTTTTTTATAGTATATATATATATATGTATATCAGTCTATCGTACATAATATATCGTAGATACATATGTAATATGTATATATATATATATACACTATATATATATTATTAATATCATTACTATTATTATCATCATCATCATTATTATTATTACTATTATTATTATATATTCATGTAATCATTTCTGGGATGGCTTGAATCATGTTGAAACATGTTGACACCACCCGCTGGCCACACGTTCACCGGCCAGGACGGCGTCATGTGGACCATGGACAGCTCAAGAGCAAGCAGCAGCTCCGAGAGGACGCGAGGAGCTGGCGGAGCTTTCAGTATGTGGTCACGGGACCCGAAGGGCCGAAGGGATCCGAAGGGGAACGGTGCTGACCCGTGCCCCTGGTTTGAAAAAGTCGTTGTAAGGGGTTCTTGGAAGGTTTTGTTGAATGTGGTCGGTTTGAATGTGTTTTAATTATATAATGGGTTTTAAAAATACACACGCACACACCATATTTCAGACAGAAACTGAATAAAGGGGTGGCGAAGACGATTTCGCTGCTGGATATGCCTCTGACCATGTGGGTTCCAGTCTAAATTACAGGGGTGCATCAGTGTTCCATAGTTGTTAGAACTAATCAGAACGTTCACCTTTTGGTCACTTATTTTGCTCACTTGTTTCACTTGAAGCATCCACTGTCGAAGACCTATTCTCAATTTCCACCTTTAACAGAAGAGGGCATACCAGCGTTCACACATGTGTTTCTGGTTTTCTTCTTCACCATGATTTGGAACCTTATTGCGTTGTGTTGTGTCGTATTGCACGGTATTGTGTGATTCAACTGCAACTACAGGGTATCCCCTTGATTTAGCAGTTTAGCCATACAAAGTAACAGATTCTTGGGAGATTGCGCGCGCTTGCGATTTCTATTGTGTTGTCATTGTCCTGGAGGTGACTGGGCTCGTTTTTCTGGGTTCACCCGTGTCAGATTGATTTCCATCTTGATTCTGAGGTGGTTCTATCATATCCACAAGAGGGCTCTCCAAACTACGAAGAACTTTGCCGAGGCGCTGAAACATGCTGCAATATCTGCAATGGACTCCCATCCCCCTAAATTAAGTGATAATTACGATTAATTACGGCATACCTCCCATCATGGACATGAACATGAATAAGACCACTACGAAACATCAAATTTTGTGAGTTGTGTAGGGGCTGTAGTGTTTACTGTCACGTGCCGCCATTGGAGCCGGGCATCCCATTCGTCCGGCTGTGAATTTTCACCCACACCAACCTTGGGTAAGGTAAATTCTTGGATACAGTTGGGTGAATCTTGAGATGAATGTGAATAAATACTCCATGGATGATTTGGGATACAGTATCTTTAGGGTGGCTGAAAGCATCTGAAAGCCCTCATCGTGTTTGGACACAACAGGCTTTGCTGTTCCGGACAACTGGCCAAAGAAGCCAAAAGGACGGCGCAGATCTGGTCGAAGTCGAGACCGGACGCAGCTGGGATGACCATCACGGAGTGAGTTCAAGATCAAGATGAGTTTGGCGGAGCAAGATGGTGCTTTGTAGCTTATTTTACCCTGCAAAAAATGCGTTAATCGTTGACTTAGTTGTTTTTTTTTGCATCACCAAAAACACGATGAAACACCCATAAATCATAAACCCAACAGTTATAGACCTCAACTGAGCTAACTGGGACGCACCTAAGGCCTAGAAGCAGCGACTCTGAGACATCGCAAGAGCGAACAGCAACGAGAGTCCGTGGGGTGGGCGTTGGGTGGGCTCCAATGGGGAGTCAATTGGGATGATTGCCTAGCAAATCAAGCGGACGATGATCACCAGTTATTTTTCCGATTTGAGAAGCATATGGAAGTGGAAACCCTCCAGGTTCAAGCAGAACATCGGTTTCTAGGGTTTCATTTGCCATTTCCAAGCTTGTTTCCACTAGAAGTGGTTCGTCACTAAAGCTGATTTTGGTCACTTTGGTTGGACATTTTGACCTCTGGCCAGTTTGGCGCTATGTGTTGTCGCTTGCAAAAGGCCAGCGCACGCAAAATGCATTCGACAAAGCGTAACATGCTTTTCTGCCAGTTGCTCGAGCTCATGATGGAAAGAAATGATTGCACATTGATGCACGTTGAAGAGACAATGAGATAGGACGGAAAGAACACAGCTTTGAATTGGAATTCAAGGGAACATTGACAGTGACGATCTCAGATGACATCCGATGGTCTTTCTGTACAATGACTTTCCCAAAATGACGTCAAATGAAACACACTGCAATCATCTGCAATCCAAATCAGACAATTCAATACAATTCAAACATTCTGGCAAGATCTGGCAAGATCTGGCAAGCTATTTTTTCCCACCATATCAATCCATATCATCCAACTCTTTGCAACGTGGCCCATATCGGAGATGGGTTCCATTGCCCTGTGACAGCCATGGCCTTCAAGATGGCCATCGGCCGGGGGAAGGGCAAGGGTCGTGGCGGCCCGTCCGCCCTGGCGGCCTTTGCAGATGATGTCCCTTGCAAACCAAGATTTGGGAATCCCCACTATACATGTTAATACGATGTTTCTGCTTGGGATCGTTTCCCCCTGCGAAGCAAGGAGCAAAGGATTGCTATCTGAATTTACCCTGGAAACAAACAAGCAGGAGCACCACCGATAGACGCCCTTTTCTGGACTGATCGATGTGCTGCAGAGCCCACTGAAGGGCGAGTCCGCCGGGCTTGAGACAAGCGATGCCAAAGGTACACTTCTCGATTTGTGCACAGGATGCATTGACCAAGAGCAAGATGTGATCTCTCAGCTTTCATTTCAGCATCGGTCACAATTTTATGCTGCTCTTGTGTCCAGTGACCATAGACAGTGCAACCAATGTTCATCAACACAAAGTTGGTATCTCTGAGCCCTTTTCTTTCTAGCAGACAAGAAATTCGGGTCGTAAGTGATCCTACACCACCCTTGATAGAGAGCTTTCAAAAGGGGTTCATGACAACCAGATTTAGTTAGACCGTCCGCAAGTTCCTGTTCGCCGTCCACCCATTTAAGGTCAACAGCTGCTTGGTGTAGCCTTTCTTTGATAGCCAACAACTCGATGGCCGTCCTTTTCTCTTCCATTTGCAACCCTGAACTCTCTACCCTGGAAAGGCCATCATAGATATTTCGGGCATCAACAATAAGTCCACTTTCAAAAGTACGTAAATATTCATCAGCAACTCGGAGATCCACTTTAGCTGGTTCCTGGAGATCAATCCACCCAAGTTTAGAGAACTCATGGAAGTCCAAAGCGTTGGCACACATTTGCGCTTCCGCACTGGTACTGGATCTGGCAACTCTTTTCAACCTTCTGCTTGACCAACCCAAAACGCAGAAAGGAGTCTTTCACCGTTGAGAATGCCTTTGGGGGCCAAAAGCGTAATTTGACCTCCCTGTGAAGAACCATCAACCCTGGTGGCCCATGAAGCGTCAGTGAAAGTAACAACAGTAACATCACCATTCATACAAGGAAAATAAAGACCACGATCAAAATATTTTCTTTGTAAACGAACCAGTTTATTCACAGCTAAAACATCACACACTCTTCCAGATTCAACAGCCCCTTGCAAGAGGGAAACCGGTGCCAGTAACCATGGCGCACTTTGCGTGGCTCTCCAACTCAAAGACCCCAGAGTTTGTCGCATTCTTCGCTTCTCTTCTGTAGTTATTTCTGCCAGTGTGTCGCCTTTCCTTTCCTTTGTCAAAACAATTTCATCAATGCCTAAGGCAAAACGTTCCTGGCAAAGAAACAAGCTACCATCAGACTTTTGAGCGATTTCCATACCGCAATATGTGATGGTGGTTTCTTGGGCATTCGACCAAGACCCAAAAGAGAAACGATTTTGAAGCCGTTCGAGGGCTGATTCATAGGATTTGCCTTTTCCTCCACAAAGGACATCATCCACGTGTATCCCCAAAACACCCTGAATAACACCGTCTTCAACCCATTTGTATAAACATTTATCCAAACCATGGGGGATCCAACCATCTTCAACAAGAAAAGAAGACAAAGACTCAAACCACTGTTTAGGGGCGTTGAGGAGTCCATAAATGGCTTTGGTGATACGAAGAATTTCATGCTCTTTCATGTTCAACATCTTACTAACTTCAGGAGGTGGGGCCCCAAAAATATCTTCGTTAATTTCAGAATGATTCCCTTGGAGAAAGGCAGTAGATATGTCCCCTGAGCTCAATTGGAATTTTCGCCGAGCACACTGAGTGAGCAACATGTTTCTCCCCAAAGTAGACAAAGTGGGACTTTCTCTAGGCAAATACGTTAAACGAGGATCTTGAAACCCTTTGATGATTAACCTTGCCTTTGCCTTTCGACCTTCTTGAACCCCAGAATCATTGAGCAAAGGTTTCCAAATATGCACCCATCTCATTTGCATCACCCTACTAGGATCTATCCCCTTAGAAGAACAAATTTGAACCGCATCTTGAGAAACAAACGAATCAACCTCCTTTTTCATGGCTTGTTCAAATTCAACTTGTTCATCTCGGTGGAGTTTACGAATACACACCTCAGCATTCTTCTTGACTTTGGAGTTGACAACCCAAGCTTTACCTTTTCTGTGGACATCACGAGGTGCTATGTGCAGTTCAAATTCAACGACATCCAATTTGCTTACGTAGGAGACAAAATCCTGCAAAGGTTCCACTGTGCTAGACACATGTGTAGTGTTTGTTTGATAGAACAGCGCATTACCCTCAGGAGAGCTCCTCATGGGTCTTGGGGACCTGCTCCTTGTGGATCTGCGAGTGCTGCTTGCTGGGATTGCTGCAGGTACTGAAGGACCTGACCCACCATGGATTCCAGAGTGAGCATCCGATCTTTCATCTGTGTCATGTTCTCCTCCATTTCGGTCATCTGAGACCAGCTGGCCATCTCGTCCTCGAAGGGACTCTCGGGTACTGGAATCGGGTGGCCGGTGCTCAAAGCGGCCATGCTCTCTTTGGTGAGTTTCGACGCTTGTGGAGGAGGGTCTTTTGCGATTGGCTTGCTCAATTCCACTTGGTCCTTGATCTCCATCTCGAGACGACGGCGTAGGTAATGGGCGTAGAGTTCCACTCCCTGAGGACTGCATGGGTTCTCTTTCGCATGGTCGGCGACCCATTTGTTGTAGCTGTCGTCCAGATAGATCTCTGCAAAGCTCACCCCTTTGTACTTCCGGCCCACTGCTAACTTGATCTGGCCCAACTCTTCGATGTTGGTCTGCGAGTAATCGTGGACCTTCTGACTCTTCAAGGCCATGAGGTCCTTGAGGGATATCTTGGTCTGAGCCATTGCGCGCAACACTAGGATCAACACGGATGGGGGCTCGCTGCAAGTGCTCGAGAGGTGTTTTACCAAAAGCGCGGAAATGAGGTTTCTCAGACTCAGGACATGGTTCACGCAGGATGTCACTAACATCTTCTTTGGAAATATCCAAATACTTCTGTTGTCGTGACACTTGTTCCAACATGGAATGAAAGTTCTGAGGACCGTTAATTTCACGATCAAGGTGTCTCAAGTCATGAGCACATAATCGCAGCTGTTCAGGTGAGCAACGAATAATTCTCCCTGCGTGGGCTACCCAGACAACAGAACCCAAATGTTGACCCCCTTCAAAATCTCCTGTCTTTTCGTGCGTGAGGACGCGTGCTGGGCCATACCAATGACCCCCATAGCGACTGCCTTCTTTGGGACCCTTTCTGAAATAGTATACCAATTCCCCCATGCAAAATTCCCGCAGCGGCCTGCTTTTTGCGTGCAGTGCCTTGGAGATTCTCTTCTGCGCATCAACTTGCAAGAACAGCTTTCTGGCCTTATATTCGGCTTGCACTTGTTCCTCAAAAGTAGGCTGGTTTCGGGCAGCCTGATGAGGCAAGTTGTTGGTGTTTTCCAAGAAAGAAGAGATTCTCGAATGGTTTTGTCCAAAAGCCCATTGGTTAGGAGAATAACCACGTATATTGTGCATGTTATTCTTGGCGCTCACTGCCAAAGCCAACAATTGCTCAAGCCCAAAACTGTCACCTATTTCCATACACAACAAGTTGAGTTGTTCTTTGAGGGTCTGGAGATGTTTGCTATGCTTACCGCCTTGCCAGGCACTCTCAGCAGCAATAGGTTCCAACTTCATACCAAAAGTTTCCAGCCAGGCAATCTTATCCCAACTTCTCAGAAAACCTTCTTCATCATAGCGAAGTATGGAGGGAGCAGGAAAGTGTTGTAACCAACCCCGGGATAAAGCCTTTTGAAACTCATCAGCAGAAATATTCCTAAGAGGTTCATTTCCCATTCGGATAATAACCGCCGTTTGAAAGTCCGTAGCTTCATCCATCATACTAAGCCCAATGATGTGTTTTGGGTTTTCCCCCGGTTTCAAAGCTTCTTTCGGGGTTCGCCACCAAAACGTATCAATGCTTAAACATTCCCATTTCTGGTATGCTTTGGGGGCAATTGCCGGTCGGGTGATGGTCCTCCTGCCTCTTTGGAGACATTCCGGACAAGAAAAGGTTTGAGCCACATCCATGACGGCTTTAGTGACCCCTGCATCTCGCAACATCCTGAGGAAGGCCTCCTGGCCAGGATGGCCCAGATTTCGATGAATGGTTTTGAGTTTATCTTTGATGTCTCTTATTTCACCGGGGTCAGGTTCCTCAGCGCGAGGTGCAGCCTCATCTTGGGGCACTGCTTCGGGTTGAACTGCCTCTTGAATGGCATCCATAGCTTCGTTTGCCAAAATGGCATTGTCAAAATTTGCATCAAATTGAAACGGTCTATGCTGTTGAGAAAACCAACTGTACAAAACGTTGACATCTTCCAACAACACTTTGGCAAAACGACGACACAGCAAACGAGGATAGACCGCGGTGGCTGACGTGAGATCCCCATGGATGGATGTATGGGCCCCAGCTCCATGACTACATTTTCTTTCCGAAGCTTTCCTCACTCCCATGTGCGTACTAAACCAACCCCAAGGTTTCAACAGTAAATCCCCATGTTTACTGAATAAACCATGTTGGCAACCATGAACAGAAAAACGACCACCGCACAAACGAACTATAACCTTCATATCGGGAGTTTCCCAGGTCTGGTCATGAAGCGGATGTTCCCCACCTGCATGGTGTTGGAGATGAAACGACTTCAGGTCCTCTTGTCTGTTCAGTTCAAGTACCTGAATTTCCACAAGCCTTCTCAAGTTCCTTAGTAGTTTCTTATTGACCTGACGTCGTTCCTGAAGTCGATGCACTTGCTCAGGATTCCTCTGGTTACAAGTCTGAACGGCAGTCCAGGGATCACAAGGAGGGCTAATATGAAGATACTTGGGTCTACAAGTGCGGATCAGATGAGCCGCAGCTCGAAAACCTTTGAGGGTAGACAAATCATGCCCATTGTGAACCCCAATGCTCATAGCTTTGCCTCCGGATTCCCGGACAGTTTGTGTGAGAGGGGCATCCCATGGTGCACACACTTCTAACAAATCCAAAGTTCCAACACCGGTAAGTTGTCGAAGGGAATCTACCGCATGAATCATTTCATCATGGAGAGGATCAAAAAGGCCCGCTTCCCCATCCTTCGAAAGATCAGGACTAGAGTCTCCAACTTCAGGGGGCTCCACAAAAACGTCATGATCACCATTCAAATCATCAAGTGAGTTGTCACTGATGGTCACAGTTGGTTCAAAAACTTCAGTTGTATGTCCACTCAAGACCTTCAATCTAAGATTACTCCTAGACTGTCCATTTTAGTCTTGGTGGAGCTGTCCCTAAACGCGTGACTCGCCCTTCTGTACACTCTGCACAGTAGTGCTTTCTTTTGGCGTCTCACTGGCATTCGGCTCACTTGATCTCAGGGCATCATCTTCCTCATGCTCTTCTTGGACAGAGCTTGGCACAAGATTGGCCTGAGCTACACGGCCACCAAACGCAGTGATGGAGAGCAAAAGATGGTTGCCTGGACTGCGGTCTAGAATGCACTTTTGGTCACTGATATTTCCGAAAGAGGCCTCACCTGTCCGAAAGTCAATCTTGGCTTTGGCATCATACAAAAACTTTGCACTCAGCAGCAGAGGCGTTCCTCCATCAACAATGTGAACATCCAGCACAATCTCCGTGCCGAGGATCCCCACAGTGAGATGTGCGAGGCCAATTGCTTGGCTGCTATGATCACCTCCATAGATGAAAGTCTTGTGCATCGTCCTGTTGATTTCAAATTCATCACTGATGTTGAAACCCATCTCTTCATAGAGATTCGCCAGATACTGCAAGGTGTCCACACCAATGACATTGTCGGAGGCGCCACTGTCTACGACTGCAAAGCCCACATGGAAAGGCGTTGCGCCCGTGGATTGCCAAATGCTTCCCGGCTCAAGGCTATGGAAATGCCCAATGAAGCCACAATTGGTTTCTCCTCCCTCAGCATCCTGCGCAAAAGACACTTTGCCCTTGCCATACCCTTTTCGTTGCGAGGGTTTCTGTGGGCAATTGCGTGCAATATGACCTCTTTTGCCACATCGCATGCAATCCTTGTTCGCATCAGGATTGCTGCTACCTACAGTCCCATACCCTTTTCGCATGCCAGAGTTGTATCTAGGAGCATTGGGATTGCTGGTAGGGTAGAAGCCCCTCGCTGTTTTGGCTTGGTCCAAAGCCTTGCGAGCTTCTTTGAACGTTGCCAGAACATCTTTGTCTTCTGGATCATTGAGAAAGCATGCCAAAGCCTCTTGGTACATGGTTGCTGCCTCAGAGAGCTCAAGGGTCAGCATCTCCTCCTCTTCATCCTCAGCACATTGGAAGACCTCACCATCATCATGATAAGGTTCATCCACGTGCAGAGCAGGAGATGCCACATTCTTCTTCTTCATCTTGGACTCTTGATCTTTGGCCGCAAGACCGCCGCCACTCCACATCTTCTGCAAAGCGGCTATCACATGGTCCAGTTTGTAACTTTCAGCGCGCCCTCGAACGTTGGCCACATCGCTAGGCTCCATCCTCATGTAACAATTGAGAAGATACCATCCAAACAGTTCTGAAGGGATCTGCCCCTGAGAACCTGACTCTTTCAGAGCTTTCTCCAGCTTGCGAATCAACATCTTGAAGCGCGGCTCGTAGTCGACAAATTCTTCACCATCTTTGCGGTAGATGTCTCTTTTGACGAAGAATTCATTGAAAGCATCTCCAAGGAGGTCCACTTTTTCCTTGCCGCGGGTCTTTGCCAAAAATTCCAACAGGTATTTCCACCCTTCTTCTTTGCGTAGTTTTTCCCTATCAATGTCGGAAATTGCATCAAAGGCACGGCCAGAGAGGTTTGACGCTAATCGGGGACCCAGAAAAGGAAGCTCCTCTTGTTTCATGCCATCAGCCCGCAATTCCACCCTTTAGGTGGTAATCTAGCCAACGATCCCAGGAGCCGTCCCAGGTGGGATACTTGTAGTCTATCCCATCCTGTCCAGATTGAGAAGCCATTGCACTACAGGAACCTGCTCAATTGACAGGCTCCCGCTACCATGCGAAGCAAGGAGCAAAGGATTGCTATCTGAATTTACCCTGGAAACAAACAAGCAGGAGCACCACCGATAGACGCCCTTTTCTGGACTGATCGATGTGCTGCAGAGCCCACTGAAGGGCGAGTCCGCTGGGCTTGAGACAAGCGATGCCAAAGGTACACTTCTCGATTTGTGCACAGGATGCATTGACCAAGAGCAAGATGTGATCTCTCAGCTTTCATTTCAGCACCCCCAGCCTCTTGGAATTCAATCCCATCAACTTCCCCATCAACTTGGAATACTTGCAACTTGGAACCCTGAAGGCTTCGCTGAGTCATTGAATTGGCTTCCAATATCTTCCAATTGGTCGTTTCACTGAGTTCTGAACATGTTCCATCATCCATCCCATCCCTCTTAAAATCCGCTAAGTACATCGAATTACTTCCAAACTAAGTCACATTAATCTCAATTCACCAGCAACCCCCGAAAAAAAAACATCGCCATGGCTGGCTCACGACGGCGCCAAGGAGCCAGGGCCGCGGAAACGGATGTTTCCCCTGCCGGCTGAGGCGAGCCCTTCAGGCCGGGATGATGGGATCCCATCATATCTCATCCCCAGCATCAGAAGCAGGATTCCTAATGATATTAATGATGGATGACATGTTAATGATATTAATTAATATATATTATATTAATGATATTAATGATGTTAATGATGTTAATGATGTTAATGATGTTAATGATGGATGACCATACCCCACACCCAACGTTTTGACATTTTTTGACTGTGGCAAAGGTGGGCATAGGAATTTGACCCCTGAAGCCGGTTTGAAAATGTTCAGGGTGCCAATTGACCGGAAGATCTTAAGATCTTAAAGAGGATGCACGTGCGGCATTGATTTTGCCTTTCTTTCCCACCTTGAGGCAATGCAGTTGAAGAGCCACCAGCTGAATTGAAGGAAGAGGCTCCGGCAGAGGCAGAGGTGCGGTGATGAATTTGGTGGGTAAGCATCAGAAATTGGTTGGATAAGACTGACAGCTTACGCAAGATATCTCAACGTTTCAGTGATGCACTGCTTGGTAGATGGATTGACTTGATCTGCTCCAAGTATCGCAGCAACATCACCTTGCACTTCACATATCTTATAATGTAAGATATATCATATATTAGTCTTTTAATCTAGCATCAAAAATAACATTTGTATAATTACGGAGTATAATCCAAAAAAAAACGTTTAAGATCATACAATACATACATAATACATAATCTGTTTATCATAATATATGTGACGGCCATATTTTTTTTTGATACCTCCTTCATTCTCATCTGCTTTCCGCCAGGCCAATGCTCTGGATGTGTTCATGGAAAGCATCGAAACCAAAGCCGCGGAGCCCAACGAGGACCTCTCCAAAAAGGCCTGAATTCTGGTCATTTGAAGCCAATGGGGCCAATCATCAAGGCTAAACAAAGGGCGTAGATTTCAGCACCAGGGGCTTAACCAAACATAACCAAACCATAACCAAACCATATTTATTGACCAAGAATCTTAAGTATTACCAATCTATAGGGAAATCACCACTGAGAAATGGGGTCGCCAGGCAATGCCGTCCTGGGAAGACATGCCGACGCTTGGATGGAGAGCTTTTAGATCCAATGAGCCACTGATTTGTTTTTCTGGGTTTGCTTAAGGTTACCCCCTGGTAAACTAACATAGCTATTGAAAATGGCCATTTATAGTGGATTTACCCATGAAAAATGGTGATTTTTCATAGTTATGTTAAATTACCAGAGGGTATTATGATTGATTATGCATGTTCAAAATGGGAAACCCTACCTGGCCGGAGCATCTACAGAGAGAATGTGTTGATGAATTTGTTCAATGTTAGGGCCCCATCAAGCAAATAACAATCCAAGTGTTGCTTCTTCCCAGTCGCAGGCCCAAGAAAAGATAATCCCACCGGGTGGAGCACTAGTACAAATCTCATTGCGCAGTTGTAGGAGATATATCCAAAACTCATAGCCTTGACATCCCTTGCCCTTGAGGGCTGATGATCCAGTCGCCTCCTATTGCGAGCTTTGTGATCAAAACGCCGCGAAAGGCGATGAGAACGGAGAGGATGCCTTGCTTTGCTGAAGATGTTGTTCTATGTTTTTCATTTTTCCCCCAATGGGAACAGAATCATTGAACCGGGGAACATTTCTGGCCCCCGGGCGCAAATCCAAGGATGACGATGAGGAGAATATGGACCGGCGAAGAAAACCCATCGAACCCTTGCCTCGGGTGAATCATGACGAAATTGACTATCCAGAAGTGGAGTTTGGATTCTACAAGCCTCACCCAGAGCATCCTGGCAGATGTTCACTGACATAGCGCGAGAATGCGATAGGTGGTTTTTGTTTTATGTTGTTTTAATGTTGTTTTGAGTTTGGTGACTTGGTCACATCCCCATTTTGACTTTGAGCCAGGTTAAACAGATGAGCCAGATGGGCGAAGGGTGGGTATGTCGGTCTATGCAAAGTGGGAAAGTAGCCCGGAAAACATTTGACCATCATTTGACCCATAGACCATCCAACCCAGTATCCCCAAAAAAACAATTTTCTCATATTTTCTCTTGTGGTTGATTATGTTTGATGGTTGAGTTTGTGCAAACCTTTTGATGTGGTAGTTTAACTGCTTGTTTTGTTGCATCTTCTTGCCATAAAACGCTGGAATATGATGCATGGATAATACTGATAACTATCGACTAGCAGATAAACAACACATATATTACTATGACTATATTATATATATACACACATATATTTATATATACACATACATGATAGCGAATAATGTTTTTCAGCAGGGTCTCCAAGCCATTTGTTGCCTCGCTGTCTTGCTGTCACAGGATCGATTTGTTGACAGAGGAGGAGGTGGCGACGTTGCGCAAGGAGCTGCGAGTGACAGCGACGGGTTCCAACTGCCCGCGGCCAGTGGTGTCCTTCGCACACCTTCGGCTGCCGAAGGAATCTCCACCCCATCTGGCCGTTGGGTTGGGTTGACCAAATGGGGCAGGGCCTGGGTATAATGGGGATTTTAAGGCCCAAAAGTTGTGATGTAAGCCCTGCAACCATGGTCTCACGCACTTAATTATTATATAGTGCTGAAGGAAAAACTGCTCCATTTGGATCCATTTGGATGGCTGGAAGCCTGTATTTTGATGAAATTTGGCTGTTGGTAAGCGGAACATGGTCCCAGAAAATAGTTTTGGGCCAGGAGTATTGAATGACCATATCCATGAAACATGATGGAGCATAGAATCTTAATGCAGGGAACAGATGAATATCCCACGACTCCGGGACTTCAAAGATCATCTGAAGAAATGGCTATTTTGCCGGGTTAGATGGAGTTACCCCTGCGAAAAACAAAGGTGGACCCCCAAAAATGGCCATTTGTAAAGGCATTCTTGGATACTTTTGGGGGTTCCAGTTCCAAAGGTATTCAGTTTGTCACGGTGGGTTACTTAATACATGTTATATACATGTTAATACCTACTTGTATGCCTTTTGGGGTATGATTGCTAAAGATGTTTAATAGCAAATCATCTTCTAAAGGAAAACATGATGGCTTTAGATTGTGTATTGGAGCAGAACATCCTGGATCATTGCATTGTTTGCCAGGCGGCTTCAAGAATGTATATATGTCACATATATAGTTTATATAATTATAATTATATATATATATATATCTATACACATTATACACACCTTCAGATACTCCAACCCCCCAAACAGGCAAAAGGTCCAGTAAGTCACCATAGAAGTATATGACTCCATACTTCAACTGCTACTGAAAGTAAAATGGGTCATTCCAAAAGCTGGAGACTTTGCAAACTTTGCACGTGCCATCATCCGCTGGCGCAGGAGCTCTTAGAAGGGATCCGAAAACATGGCTATTCCAAGCCTACGCCCATCCAAGCGCAAGCATGTCCCGCCGGCCTCAGTGGTCGTGATGTCATTGGCGTGGCGGAGACGGGATCCGGCAAGACGGTGGCCTACCTGCTGCCGAGCCGTGGTGATGGTGGATTTGTTTTATGATTTTTTGCAGCTTATGAAGATGGATAAGATGGGGTGTGATGTGTTTATGAAGTTTATGATGTGTCTATAAGCATCATTCATAATAATTTGATATGGGAGTTATTTGCCATGGTTGTATAATGTTGTATCCATCCTGCAAGCTCAAGTATTAATAGACGGTGCAGATGCCAGCAGCAGTCAACTGTGACTCAACTATGCCGTTGGTTGCTCTTGGTGCTTTGACCATTCATTCGTACCGGTTTCTCGCTTCCTAGCACAGCTAGGGCAGGGTGACCTGACCGTATATGTACATGGTTTCCGAGCCAACTGTCATAAGAATGACTACACCTGGGGAACAGATGAATTGATGAGAAGTCCTTACCCCCAAGCTTAAGGATGTTGGTTCATTGCGCGGCACAGCCAGAGCTGAAGAAAGATGAGGGGCCAATTGGTTTGACCCTTTGTCCGACGCGAATCTTGGTGCAGCACCTGGGGGTAGTCTCGAGTTGACTTCGGGTGTTTCTGCCACAATGGGCTTGCTGGAGCGATTTTTGTAGAAGAAACTGGACGGTAGAGAGATATCTAGCATTGGAACCAGCTACTGTATGCATGTATACTGTATACGGCTACCTACCTATCTATATTAGCACTGTATATTACTGTATATATGTACGTATAATATACATATATATATATGTGTGTGTGTGTGTGCGTATAATCAGGCCTGCCAAGTTTCGCAAAAATCACTACTACATGCTGGCCGTTGTTTGCATGATCTTCCGTGTCAGGAGAGCTGGCGGTGCAGATTGAGAAAGAGGTCTACAAATTCAACAAGTTGCTGGGACTCAGAAGCACCACCTTTGCCGGAGGACTTTCCAAGTACCAGCAGTTTCGCACCATCAAAGGCGGGAGAACCCCCATGCTTTCCAAAATCACTTGGATGGGCCGAAAGTACTTGGGATTTTCTACCATTTTCTACCATTTTCTACCATGTGTCTACCTTTCGTGGGGGAAGGATGGGAAAATAAATACAGCAAGCTTGAAGCCCTATCCTCCGTTTCTGGCATTCCTGTTATTCAACAAGCCTTCAATGCAGCCAACCGAACCCCCGACCATTTCTCCACCAGCTGGGCCCCTTCAGCTATAAATTGGCCGAAAAACAATCCGACTAGACAAACTGACCAGATATGATCAGTATTTGGAAGTAACCCCCCTTAGTAATCAACCAGGCTTTAGAAATGCAGGGTTGACATTATATAATTCGTAGTCCATGACACAGTTCTCATCATATCCTATATCCCATGATGTGTACTTGATATGCCATCAAAAGTGCTATCATACCCATGTGGACCCCAGAAATAGCTACAGGCCAAAGTTCATACATACCGACCCCAAAAACAGTGTCGCAGAATCAGGAACGTTGCGAGTTATGGGACATCGGGGAGTCGGGGTATGAACTTCCGGGATATAATATACAGTATTCAACAATTTCTGAGATAAAGCAATCATAAACCATCCATATTTGGATGGTTTAAACATGTTTATAAACATGGTAACATTGGGGGATGGTGGATCCTATTGCTTTACCCACATTTTTTTAATGAACAATTCATGATCCGGGCAGGTGGCAGTGAGATCGTCATTGCCACCCCCGGACGCCTCATTGACATCGTGAAGATGAAGGGCTGCAACCTACAACGCACAACCTTTGTGGTCCTGGATGAAGCGGACCGGATGCTGCAGATGGGTTTTGAGGAGTGCTGGAGACCTGGTGGATTTCACCCAGCGCATTGATGGTGTGAAACTTGATTTATAGGAAAGAACCGCTTCAGAACTGATAGATACATTAAATTACATGAAATTTCATTACAGTACATTACATACATGCATATACATAACACAAATACATATACATACATATATAACTGCGAGTATTTAAGATCTGGTGGATATATCTGGGATTATTGAGATACGATACAACCGACAGAATATCGGGATATATATAATAGGAATCTAATGGAATACATGGTACAATATGATGGCATGTCATCAGGATGCATTTTAACAAACGTTGCGACGTCACTAGAAGATCATTAGAAGGGGTAACTATGCTCAAACGCCCTGATTTCAGCTTGGTGAATGATTCATCCAGGTTGGCGAGCGTTTTTCCTGGACAGGACCAGATTCGCTCGATTCTGCAGAACATCCGGCCCAAGCGGCAGGTTGCTGTGATTTCATTGGTTTCATGGAGATCAAACTACAAAATCATGGTGGATGAAAAATGAGGAAAAATGTTGTGAATCAAGAGAAACATACACGGCGGAATATACGGGCACCTTCAAGAGAACAGATCTGTTGATTGGCAGAATAGATTCGTCATGATTGGTCTTGCTAAACCCCTTGAAACCCCTTTGAATCAAGCTATGTTTCTGTTATTGTCCCAGATCTCCAGGGTATGGCCCTATGTTAGTGATATTTAGTGATTTTGTCTCAAGCTTGCTGGTCAAATCCCCTAAGGTACTGATGCAATGCTCTTTCATGACATTCACCAGTTAAATCCCATCAATTCCCAGTAAATCAGTTTAAATCCCCACTGAAATCTCCGCAAAGAATCTAGAATCCCATAAAACCTCCATTAAAATTCTAGAATTCCCATTTTAAACCTCCATTAAATCCTCATGGTTTCAGAAGCGGCGCCGAAAAATTCATCAGGCCCTGCTCTTCAGTGCCACCATGCCTCCGCGCATCGAGCGCCTGGCGGCAGATTTCCTGGATCAAGCCGTGCGCATCACGGCACCTGGGATGGGAACATGGCTGGGAAGGTGGCGAGTTTTTTTTACTGTAATTATTTCCCATCTATTATTGATCTATCCCAGGTGGATCTATCTATTTATTGTACTATAATAAATTTCCAAATTGATCTATCTATTTATTGTACTGTATTAATGTGTCTATTTCTTGATGTCCATTTTAATCTATTTGTTTGTCTATCTATCTATTTGTCTACTTATCTATCGATCTGTCTCTACCCATTTCTTCTCACAATGCTCGACCCTTGTCAGGTTGGCATCATGTTTGTCAATGGAAAGGGTGCGATGTTGACCCCAAATTAATCACCTCCTGGGCTGTTCAATTGGAGGTACCATTTGAGTAGCACATTAAATCTAATCTTTCAGGATAATGGTTCCTGTTTGTGTTCTTAGTATCATTATTGTATATTATTGTTATTATTATCCATCTCTGACTTTCATTTATTGGAAATCTGAGTCACTCTCGACTCCCGACATATGTGGACATGTCGTAACATATTATCAGAGTGGCTGCCCATGAGTGTCCCCTCAATGACCTTTAGATTGTAGATGTTTTTTTTTTCAAGGGGGGTGAACCACCAACTATACAGGGTGAACCTCACAGCGTGGAGACCAAGGTGGGCACGGCTGGTCAAGCTGCCACCAGCGTCAGGCAACATGACTCTTGGCCAATTTGGCCGCCGTTGTCGCTGGCCGGGCCTCGCTAGCTCCGGCCAGCAGAGATGCGGAGAATGGCAGAGATCTAATTTGATACCCTCTGGTAATTTAACATAGCTATTGAAAATGACCATTTATAGTGAGTTTTCCCATTAAAAATGGTGATTTTCCATAGTTATGTTAGTTTACCAGAGGGTATTGTCTATAAAGTTTGTGTCAATGTGTCAATTTGACATCTGATTTCGGTGATTTTTGACCATCCTAAGCCTCAATAATCCTCAATTGGGGCTTGACTCCCCAATCGGTAGATTTGTTTTTTGATTATTGGGTTTACCACAGGTAATTCAACATAGTTTTTGAACATGGCCCATCTAGTTCGATGATTCACTAAAAAATGATAGTGTTTTTGTTATTTCACTACCCATTAAACCTAGTTTCCATAACTCCTGTTAAATAAGCGGTGGAGCTGAGGTGGAAGTCTTTGAAAACGAGGCAGAGAAGTTTCCATGGTTGCGAGCCCGCATTGATAGTATCTTGGCATATTTTGGCATATATATATATATGCATAATTATATATATAAATATTATATGTATGTATGATTGTATATATATATATAAGATATATATATATATTATAAGATATATTATATATATATACTATGTATATATGTATGTATATACGTATATTATGGAAACATGGATCTGGGTGAATCATAATGACCCCACTGTGACGTCATTGGAATGATATGGAATGATGGTTCTTAAGGGGAATCATCCGCAAATGGCCTTATTTAAATTTCCACGCTTAGATTGAATGGTTGATGGATAGACGGTGATGTTAAGATGGATGATGATATGGTGTTGACCGCCGCTTTATGTTGCCTCTACTAGTATTAAAAAACAAGGTCATAACATCATAGGTATGCATATATGGTTCCCTCAGAGTCCCTTGCGATGGCGAAGGAACACTTGCGACCTTTTGATGGAGCCTTACGAGTGGATCGAGTGAATCCAGTGAATGGCTGGTTTGATATGCTGCATTCGGATGGAAACTCAAGAATCATTTGAAACCACCAAGCAGATTTCCATAGTTCATCAATGTTGGAGGGTTTCATTTTAATGTGAATCATCCATTCAATGCAAGCACCACTGCCTAGGTATGCTCGCGAGAGGCCAAGTGGTGATTTTTGCCAAGTCCAAACAGGCAGCACAGGAGAGCGGATAAGCCAGTGGGGATGGATCAGCATGAAGCACCGACACATGATAGAAGGGGACTATCCATACATACATATATATATGATTATATAAGTATATAATATATATATATACATAATTACATATAAATATAAGTATATATACATATATAATCTTAATATATATATATGTGTGTGTGTGTGCATGCAGGGAGTAACTCCCAAGAAGATAGAACAGGATTTTGATCTCTATCTTGGTGGGATTTTAGGTATCATGATGCCAGGGCTGTGACGTGGACCCACACCACTTCTATATCGTTTCAGAGTGATTGATTTAGAAATCCCCCAACTTGAACGTGATAAACAGCGATCCCCTTCGCTTTTGAGATTTTTTGGTAATTGACTTTTGTACCTGATTTGTGTGGATCACTACATTATGTGTGTATTCATATATGTATATATAATTCTTAATTCTCTGATATTATATATTTTATATATGGTACAGTAGCATCAGTTTTCAGTGCTAAGACCTTCACCAACTTGAAACACTAGCGCAGCAGGAGCTTCAACAGCACTTCGCAGATGTACAGAGAGATGCCGCGGTGCTGCATGGAGATCTGGAGCAAGATGAACGGATGCGCGTCATCGATGGCTTCCGCAAGCTGCGGCAGAGCCTTGAGCGGGGATTTTTTTTCGATGTCGGATCCCCTGGTCATGGTAGTTCTGGGAGGGGTTAAACCATGGTTTAACCAGTTTAAGCTGGTTTTAGTGGAATATTAAGGTGGAGAAGTGCGCTCAATGGATTTTAATCTTGTTTTGTTTAAAATATTGACGGGTTGAATCGATAAGAGGGATTTGATTTAATATTTAATGCCCAATAAGGGACCCAAAACAGAATTAGATCCAATACAAGGGGAAGGGATTTAAAGGGTTCAAGAATCGATTATCATCATGCAGATCTGGATCATCCCACTTCGTGCTGGACATTCTGGAAACCAAGAATTGCTGGCCTCGGGCGTTGCACCAGGGGGCAACACACTGTTCTCACAGTGGATGCTGACCCTTTTTGGAAATTTGGTATATTCGTAATTATTCGTATAGCCGTATAGCCGACAAAGATGGGACTGCTTGGATAATTCGATGACCATCCCACTTCACACATCTTCACACCATTTCACACCTTCACCTTCCGCTGATGCCATAAGCAGCGCTCGTAGCCGCGGGACGCCCTGGGCAGGAATTTGCTGATCGCAACAGATGTGGCAGCCAGAGGCTTGGACATTACCACCATTGGGACAGTGGTGTCATTCGATGTGGCCCGTGACATCGAGACCCATACCCACCGCAGCTTGGATCAACGGCGGGCGCCACTTAGTACTGTAAATGGGTGAGAAAAAAAAACAAGTTATGCAATATCTCCACTTACACACACAGAGATATATATATATATATAAAAACACAGAATTCACCAAGTTGCATCAACATAATAGCTATCAGAAATCAGCCATTAATCCCATGAAATCCCAATTTTTCTTGGTTAAACCGCCATTTTCCCATGGTTATCCCATGGTTTTCCCATGGTTTTCCGCTGGATCCGGCCCAGATTCTTTCAGGTGTGGGCCGCACGGGCCGCGCCGGTGCCACAGGAGAGGCCTTCACCTTGGTCAGCAAGGAGGCGCAATCCATATCGGATTTGTACATCATCAGATGATACCCTCTGGTAAATTAATGGAAATCACTAATAGACTTGTAATTAATAATGGGTAAATCTATATATATAATCCATATCTGGTAAATTAACAGTTGGACCCTGAAAATCACGAATATTTAATGGAAACTCGTCTTCCAACCCCGACAAATGGCAGGGTCTATGTTAATTTACTGAAGAGGGTAATATGTACCATGCCATCTGTAATCAATCATAGACCATAATCAATCATAGACATATCCTATATATATAATTATATAATGCATGGATTATATAATTGAACATCAGTGAGTTGCATGCTCAGACATATCGTAAATTATATAAATGAAAATCAGTGAGTGAGATGTTATCATTTGATAGTGGTCTCATCCGATGTTTATTGGGGTTATAATGATTGTAATGGTGGCATTATAGTGGTTTAATGTGATTTTACCGTTAACCTAACTTACCAATCCGTTCCCTCTAATATTCCACCCTTGTAAACCATGGTGGATGTAGGGAATAAAAAATACACATATTTGGAACCATAGAACAAGTTGTTTGACTTCACGGGGATGTTGCTGATCATATGGATGAATTCCCGAAGGGCCCTCCCAGTTCATGAGGGCTGCAAAGATGGAAAATGGTCCCCTAAAAATGGTCTGCCATTGACATCCATTTAGAGATTCATTGGAAGGATTGGACCTCCGATTGCCGGAATTGTAAACTAAGTTTGTTGTTGCAAGTCTTAAAACATGTGTTTTACTATTTTTGCCCCTTGACCCTTTGTATGATCATGCCATTTGGGCTTGTGTCGAGAAAGACCACTTGGGTCTCTAGGGTAATTGGGTAATTCCTTGATGACTTGGTTCACTGTACCAGATACGATTCCGACGGCCGCCATCTTGCAGGCGAAGAAAGGGAAGGGAGAAGCCAATCCACGACGAATGGCAGCACTCCTGGTTGAACATTTGGAGGAGATTAGGGAGGTAGGGCAGGTTTCGTCCTATTTTCGTTAGTGACATCCTCATGTCATGTGTTTTGGAGATATACTGTATATCCAGGTTATATATAGCTTCAATGCTGAGATATACTTGTGTCAAATCTATATGCTGAAAGTTCATGTGATCATTTCACTGTATTTAGAGTGTTGTTTCACAGACTTAGTGGATGGCTGTACTTGTGGGATATTGTTCCCCGAGTGGCAGATGCTTCTAACGGAGTAGCCTGCAGGACGTCAGGCAGACCGCCAGCAACAAACTCCTGTCTCTGGCACCTTGGCTGCACCAGGAATCACGCAGAGCGTCACCCAACACATGACCCATCATTAACCCATGCTCAGTAAATCTCATAAATCTCATTATCAACCCCGTTGTTAACATGACTATTTATTACTATAACCAAATTATTAACCATTATCAACCCATAAATGCCGTTGCAGTGAAGGGATTGGGCCACCTTTAGGCAATGGAATTCCACCCCTTCAAAGCAGCTCGCGCCGCTGGCTTGCGCCTGGACGACTCGTCGAAGGGCGGAGCCAAGGGCGCTGGGAAGGGCAAGGGCTCGGCTGAGGAGCGGGAGCGGTCCAGGTCGCGCAACTGAGGACTGGAAAAAGATGGGGCGGGCCTCAATGGCTGGACGGCTGAACTCGGCGGATTTTTGAACCCAAGAGGGACTGGAATGCTTAGGTGCTGAGGTCGGTTTTTGGTGGAGCCAGGGTGTCAAGATGTCAGGGAAGGGTGTTTGCAAGCCATTGGGGCGTTGTTCATCACATGAGCAAGTGGAAAAATGGGAGAACCTCCTCCACGCATGCTACCTCGCTGTAGGTACCTGGTTCGAGACAGTCGAGTCGTGCTGTGTAGATCAACAAGGTCAGAGCAAGTGGTCCTGCTTAGATGCTGTAGGAGCCCACACCAGCTGCATAATTTACACCTCAGCGCATCGTTGACATCTTTTGCTTGGGAAACGCGCCATGGGCTTGGAACCGCCGCCATGCGTCATCTTCGCGCTGTTTTGTCTGTTGGTTCCCATCTTTATGGCCTACAATGGCGCCTCAGAAGCATCGCAGGTGGAGTAAACATGTCCCTGGGATCATCGTGGGCAAGTAAACACAATGAATAAGTCAACTGCCACATTCCAGGAGGCATCCCATGGATGATTTGGTTCAGGAGATGGTGAACCATTTGATCATTTGGGAAGTGGGTCTGCCAAGCCTGGATGGTGCCAGTGGTATCTCCTAGGCGGCGCCACGGCAGCGACTGTGGACACTATTCAACATGAGGAGAAATGGAGTCCGGCAGGGATTGGGCAGCTCGGCTGTCCGATGCGTTCGGCGGGGCACGGGAGACGAGAGTTGGGACTGAACTGATGAACATGTATCAATTTATCTTAATTTATTTATAATTGATAGGAATTACCCCCTCAGACAAGAATGGTCTACACTAAGCATGGATAAAACATGCGCCACAGGCGCGTTGTGGCAGGTGGTCATGAATTTCATGCATATTTGCCAACCTCTCATCATTCAGCATGGACGGCGTCCAAGTTCCAGGTTGCTGGGATCCATGGACAAGATAGGAATGACGATGGCAGCTGCCTTCTGGGGATGCTTGGAAGCAGGTTGCGGCCGCAGGCCGCAGGCCGCTGGCGTTGATTAGCGAGTTTGCACCAAGGATATATGCTGCAGCGATATAGCTCCAAGCTTCTGCTCTGCATAGGTCAGATCTGGATTTGGTGGCCTGTCAGCTGGGGAAGTAACAAGACTCCCAAGTAATTATTTAAAGCCCAAAATGGAACTGCAGGTGTACCAGCCAGCGCAATGTTCTGTCAAACTGATATATATATTTATATTTATATTTATATTATATATAGTAATTATAATAGTAATAATAATGATAGTAAGTAATAGCTGTAATTATGAAACTATGCAAATAAATAAAATAAGTACGTAAGTAAACAAATAAATTGATCACAAGGGTTGAGACATCAGTGGTCCTTCCAAGCTTTTAATTGCTTCTTAGGTCAGCATAGGTTTGCCCCAAAATGGCCCGAAAATTGACAAGGTCAAGGAACCCTTGCCGACCTACCGCGACCTATCTACTGTAGTTAGGCGGACGCAATCTGATAGATAATTCAGCATTGTAGGCCCTGAGATTTTTGTCCACTATGGACCATGGCATACCATGGCACCACATCAAAAGTCGCCGTGGCAATGGATGACTATGCTTGGGGGTTGCAGTTGAGGTTATTTTTGCGAGGTGCTTGTAATTATGTAATAATGGATAGTTTATTCTTATAACCCTGTACTAAGCTATCCAACTATTTATTTAGTTTTAGTTTTATTAACTATATTTTGATGCTGTTAGTTACATAACAATCTTAATATGACTACTGATAGCCCCAATAAATTCAGGACGTATACCCCCTCTTAATAGTGGCGAAATATGGCATCTTGTGGCAGGTCTTTTAGTGAACTCTGCATCCACCATGGCCTTTGGAACTCTCCGAAATCCCACGGCGATGTGCTTAGCCAAGCTCTTGAGCCTTCGCGGTGAGTAGCATGCGGATGGATGGTTCGAATGCAGTTGAAATGAGTTTCTCTGAACATTTCAGCGGCAACCCCTTAAAAACAAAATAGTCTATCATAGTTTATCAATAGTTTTCGTATTAGATTGGCCATTTGGCGTTATGAAATGGTATGCACCACTTTCAGGCACACTCATATGTGTTTGTTTGCTAATTTTACTATGAGAGGTGTTTGAAATGAGCTGCATGGACTTCCAAGATGCCGGGCCGTACCAAATATATCCTCTTGGATTTTGGGGCGTTCAGTACGCTACAATACCATGTGTTTTCTTTTTTTTGACGGGGTATCCAGTTTCGAATGCCAAAACTGCATCACAATCATCAGGGTATATCAGGGTATCAGATTTAGATCACCAAGTTCTGCTTTAAGCCCTTTAAAAACTTTGAAACACGCCTCCTCGATGTCGGAATTTCATGAAATTTCTTGGGTTGCCATTGGATCCATTGGTGGCAATGCCCTCAGGATCGGTTTCACTGAAAGCCTTCAGTGGGTTTGGGCTCCCTTATGGATCGGCAAGTGGGCCACGGCTGAGTCCTTGCCCATTTGGATGAACTTGTCAGGCGATGGCTGAAGTGGTTTCCGAGGCATATGGAGGATACCCTTTGGTAAGCTAACAGAACCATGGAAAATCACTTTTTTAACGGCTAAATCATGGTAAATCCACAAAACATGGGCCATGTTCATCCATTTTCAATAGCTATGTTAGTTTACCAGAGGGTACTGTTTACTTTCAGGATCATCCACTTCTTTACTGGTTATACCGTATATACCCTGGGGTTATACCCTGCCTATACCCTTGGGACAACGCGCGGAAAAAGGACATGTTCTCCGGGTAATCGGATGATCCCCAGGCGGAGGCGTTTCCTCTGGTGTTGGAAACGGCTTGGGCATCTCGGCCCGGCAACGCGTTGGGGGGTCCGAAGTTGGGAAAACGTGGCTGGGAAATCCACACCATTTACCCTCTGGTAATTTAACATAGCTATGGAAATCACCATTTTTAATGGGTAAATCCACTATAAATGGCAATTTTCAATAGCTATGTTAGTTTACCAGAGGGTATTAGTTCCATGGTTTGTTCGATGTTTTTGTTCCCAGTTATTGGAAATCCATTTTTGTTGGGGATTTCCTGAGTACCGGAGGGTACCGGCAAAATCGGCAAAGTTCGGGGACGTCGAGACATAGAACGGCAAGGGAGTACTTAGAAGGTGGATGGCAATCACATGTAATGAGACATCTCTATATACTTCAGATCATGTCATGTCCCACAAACTAGTGGTATCCACTGGATTGTTGTTCTACCCATAGCCATAATTAGCCATATAGTCATAAACCACTTCCCACAACTGGAAAGAACATTCAGGTAGTGAGTGAACCTATCCCACTTCAAATCGGGCTAAGTCAGAAATCCCCAGCAGAGGCACTCGGGATCACTCGGTGGCCCCCAGCAGCAGAGGCACCATCATCGCTGGCTACACGACGGCGCAAGGCTTCTCCTATGAATTTGCATTTCAGATTGAGGCGGAGCAGTCTGGACATGGATGAAGGGTGAAAAACATGGTTACATGATTTGCATTCTGCACCATACAGGTGTGAGAATTGGGCGGTTATAGTGGGCCCATTGACGTGTGTTCTGAAGCAATGCCGTGGTTTCTGGTGAATGCCCACTTCAATCGAAGATGTGTTTCAAGAAAGAGGAAGAGGACATGAGAAAAAGGCCCTACTGAAGCTGCCATACAGTTACACATCTAGAGCAAAAATCATGGCCTTCCATGGTTCCTCCACTATTCTAAGGCGTCAACTGGATACCATCTATGTAGAATCCCTACATAATTACTGACACCACAAGCAGCGAGGCGTCTGTGCTGTTCCTCTTATCCCTTCCTCTGTTGGTGACCAGCGAAGACATGCTGATCTACAGAGATGACGCAGCGCCACCGGCGTCTGGGCGTGTTTCAGAGAATCCCAACGACCCAGTTTCGCCCTGGAATAAGTGCGGAGGATCACTACTATGGAGATATGATTAAAGATGATGAACAATGAGTTGTCTAACTTTGAGATCTTTGAGGGTATCTCATGGAAGTATGCACTACACATGGTTCCTGTATCTCAGAGTCAACATGATGCAATAGTTGTTTCAAACTCCCAGACTCACATGGCAGTCATGGTCTGTTTTAAGGTTTCGCTAGGAGGGATCATGTTTTTTTGGGGGACGGAACTGGACAGCCCGACCATGAGCTCTTTGTGATTCTTTGTGTTTTTGTCTGATCCTTTGTCTTCTGGGCGCGTTCAAATTCTCTGGGGTAGTTCAACATGTAGAGACACAGGTAGAAACGCCACAATTCAAACCAAAGCTTACATCTTTCTCAAACCTCAAACGGTTGATTTCCAGTTTAAGAGAACGAGGAATCTGCGATCTGTGAGGTTAGCCCAGGAATCTGCCCGTTTTCAGGTCAAGATCAAGTCACCGGTGTCCCTCGGTCGCGGCGGTGGGTGGGGTTCTGGCTGAAAATCCGACCTGGGCCATGGTGGGCCATGGTGGGCCCATGAAGATCTATGGCTTTTTACATGTTTTTACATGTTTTACTGGAATTGAAATAATCTCAAATCACCTAAACTCCAGGAGAAAATCTACAGCATGTTATATATGTTCATCAGTTTCCCATCAAAAAAGACTTCTCTTCAAAGGTGCCGCCCTCCAGTTACAAGATGTATCAAGATGTCAAACTCATCGCCATAAACCGTTACTAAACCCCTTTCTGAACCCTAGGCCCTAGCCCCTAGCCATGACCCGACCACCCACCATGCGACGGTGTTTCGGTGGCAGGAAGCGGGTGGTACGGCTCTCTGATGGGAGCTTGGACGAGCACCTCGTGGACGCTGCGGGCCAACCCAGCCAGCCCAGCGTGCGGCCCGCCCCCAAGGACGAGGGCCCTAGGGCCGTAGATGGCGAGGGCCGTAGGGCCGTAGGGTAGCGTAACGATGGGGTGATTTAAGCAACATGGGTAACATGGGGAGAGACTGCATATGTTGGGGTTTAAAACCCAAGAAGATGATGAAGATGTTTGGATAATATGGGCCTATATGATCCAATATAGAGATATTGTAAATACACGGAATGCAAATTAATGCAATATACAAAAGTCACCAACAATCTGTGGCATCCAGGTGTGTTTCAACATGTGTTTTTTGCGGAGAATGATGATTAATTAATGATGGGGGTAGCCTATTCGACTTATTTTCAGACAAACAGATAAGTCTGAATGATGATTCAATGGATATTAATGGATCAAACACATGGTAATTGGTAAGTGTGATAGGTAGATATAGGAGCTTAGATGAATGATTGAATGGACGGTGCATGGGGTAAATGGGGTTATGTGAAAAATGGATGCCGAGAAAAGGCCAACATGCTTTGCAACTCAAACAGACATACATACTTCTTATGAAGATGGTGATGAAGAAAAATGAAGATATGACACTATGTTTGGATATGTTTGGATAGATATTTTGAGCAAACCCTAATGATAGCTTCATGGGTGATGAATATATACCATCTCACTATATAAACCTCTGGCTTTAGGCATGGGTCCACCGATGCCTTGTTTTCAATAGCATCCTGCTTGCGAACTGTTGTATCAGACATGATTTCCATAACGGAAACGACTCTTCGTCATTTTCTGGGTAGGACTCGGACTTGAAGGGCAATTCCTTCCGATCTAAACCCCCTATTACAATTGAAAAAAAATAGCACACACAAGAGTTTAGTCTTGCATCTAATAATTTGGGAGATGTAGGCTTAGATGTGTTAGGCGTGGCGGAGTATCTCTCATGAATCTCGCGATTCTCACTTCGTTTGTTTTGATTGGTCAAAGGAGACAGTTGCCAGTCAGCTTGGATTCTTGGCGCCAGCAGGGTGGCAAGAGGTCGGAAGTTGTTTCAAATGGTTTCAAGCATTTTGGTGGTTTCCGATCGCATGGGGGTACCCCGAAAAATCCAAGTCATTAGACCAAATTTGAGCATTGACAGCCACGTTTTGGTGGTGATCTTATGTTGTTTAAATCAATACAAGCAACACGTTCAAGGCTTTATACTAGTTTACAATTCCTCTTTCCGTGAGATGACCCCGTTTTGAAGTCATATTAGGTAACCTCAAATATCACCAGTGTGATTACATAACATGAAGATACATTTACATTATACATCATTATACATCATTATACATCATTATACATCATTATACATCATTATACATCATTATACATCATTATATATCATTATACATCATTATACATCATTATACATCATTATACATCATTATACATCACTATACATCATTATACATCATTATACATCATTATACATCATTATACATCATTATACATCATTATACATCATTATACATCATTATACATCATTATACATCATTATACATCATTATAATATATATATACAATATAATACATCATTATATATATACAATATAATACATCATTATATATATAAAATATAATACATCATTATATATATACAATATAATACATCATTATATATATACAATATAATACATCATTATATATATACAATATAATACATCATTATATATATACAATATAATACATCATTATATATATACAATATAATACATCATTATATATACATCATCATTATGTATATACAATATAATACATCATTATATATATACAATATAATACATCATTATATATATATATATACAAAATAATACATCATTATATATATACAATATAATACATCATTATATATATACAATATAATACATCATTATATATATAATATTATACATCATTATATATATACTAATATAATACATCATTATATATATACAAAATAATACATCATTATACATATACAATATAATACATCATTATATATATACAATATAATACATCATTATATATATATATACAATACAATACATCATTATATAAATACAATATAATACATCTTTTTCTGTATATTTACAATATAATACATCATTATATATATACAATATAATACATCATTATATATACAAAATAATACATCATTATATATATACAATATAATACATCATTATATATATATACAATATAATACATCATTTTATATATACAATATAATACATCAATATATATATGTACAATATAATACATCATTATATATATACAATATAATACATCATTATATATATACAATATAATACATCATTATATATATACAATATAATACATCATTATATATATACAAAATAATACATCATTATATATATATATACAATATAATACATCATTATATATATACAATATAATACATCATTTTATATATACAATATAATACATCAATATATATATATATACAATATAATACATCATTATATATATATATACAATATAATACATCATTATATATATATACAATATAATACAATACATCATTATATATATACAATATAATACATCATTTTATATATACAATATAATACATCAATATATATATACAATATAATACATCATTATATATATACAATATAATACATCATTATATATATACAATATAATACATCATTATATATATATACAATATAATACATCATTATATATATACAATATAATACATCTTTTTCTGTATATTTACAATATAATACATCATTATATATATATATACAATATAATACATCATTATATATATACAATATAATACATCATTATATATATACAATTTAATACATCATTATATATATACAATATAATACACAATACTGGTACCCAAATTTCTGTTGCCCCAATCCTTTTCTGCGGTGGGCTTCACTACGACTTGGACCCGAGGAGAGCTCTGGGGAAATCCCCTCTTTTGTCGCTGTGCGATGGCGCCGGGACCTCAACTCCCCCATGGCAGTTTTCGTGAGGTCAACATATGATCCAAACTATATATATGTATAATACAATATAATGTCATATAGTACAGTAGTTTTTTATTGTAATTGATCATGTGATATTATTTTTATTATGTATATATATATTTATTTATTCACATGCAGTGCACTATATTTGAAAAATATGCCTGAGTGGATATTCATGGATATGCATTATGATTATACGGAATAGTGTGTCTAGCTACATAGTAAGATATGCATGCATACATGCATACAGACAGACATACGTACCTACAGACATACCTACACAACTGCACAACTGCATTATGACATATATTACATTTATCTATTTGCATATCTGTGTTTGTGTGCAACTGTGTAGCTGGTGATTTTGATGTGTTGATGTCACGTTGCATTGTCTTGCTTTAGATTTCTTAATGCTTGACACGCGCCCAAACTGTCCTGACGCTTCGCTTTAGGTACGCGTCTGCGAACTACGTCAACAGAGCCTTGGAAAGATTCGAGTCAGGTGGATGACTGTCTCAAGAAATCGGATTGCTAGACGATGTTGGCTATAGCTACACTCAAACAGATAGTGATATTTTTTTACATGTCTATTTTTTTCGGTTACCCTAGGTAATTTTTTTTCTCGGCTGTACCTCGATAAGACCAAGGCGCTCTTCAGTTCCTGTGGGTCAGGATCTTTATGGAACTGTGGGACATGGACAAAGACTATTGTGTTCCTCGGCGCAGCTAATTACACTGCTTGAACCGGCAGAATTCTTACAATACCCTCCAGGAATCAAACACGGCTAGCTGGGAATTCCCCAATGAAAATGGAAGTGTTAATGAGAAGATCATCTATAGATGAATATGGATTTTCTAGCAAGCCATGTTGGACTACCGGAGCGTACATTCATCCTCCAGATCCAGCTGCCATTTGCTTCCATCAATCAAGGAAATCCAAGGGTGCCCTCCAAAGTGTCACCCCCAGCAGCAATTAAAGCCTTAGGAAACAGTTATCAACCACCATCAACCCCCATTTAGGTCCGTATCAAACATTATTTTCAACCCATTGGTAACAACCCTAACCCATTTGTGTTGCTACTGCCATAGCTACCACATGGTACCACCATCAGCGTCCCCCTGAGATATCCATCGAGGTCACCAGCTTCTTGGTTATTTCAGCCAGCAGTGGAGCTTTGGGAATTTTGGCCGCGAGCTGCCAGAAGGCCCGAAGTTTCCGCCCGACCTTGGCAGATGGGGCAGATGTGGCCTGATGGGTAGAGGTTATGGTTTCCCTCCACAATTGATAGCCTCCAGATCCCCAAAAAAAAACCTGGTTTGCTGGAAAATCCCGCTATTTCTTTATGGTTGATTTTCCGAATAAAACCTCCATTTTTGTTGAGGATTTCAGAGCTTGCCCAGCTTGCCATGCTTGACGACACCGGAGGGTAGGATCGTGCAGGTCGAGCGGGACCATGCGGGGAAGCTGTCCACTTTACGGTGTCTTGGCACGCTGGGCAGCTGCGATCATGATGAGCCATTCAACATCCTAGAAACGCTGCCTTTGAACATGTGATCCCGTATTTTCAAGAATAACTTTCAGTTGTTTCAGTCCCTGAAAATTTGATTTTGGAATTTTGAGACACTGAAACCTTACAAACCTTTAGCTCATGCTGGTCAAAGGTGAAACTGAAACCTTAGTCAGTGATCCTTCACCCATCCCGTCATGTTCATAACCTGTGAGCCTTTTCTGGCCCTCATTCATGGAATTTCTTTGGGCTCTCTCAAGAGCAATTTCTGTAACGCGTTAAACAGGTCGAACCTCAATCATCAAAAATAGGTTTGACCTTATTTTGGATGTGCCTCTTATTTTGGTTTATCTGTAAGCCATGCTTGGGAATAACAGGTTTTGAATCTGAAGGTACTTTGCACATGTTTGCTGTGGACACGATAAACCCTTATTACCATTTCCAAATTAAGCGTCAATTGTTCAATCATTTCAGTCTATTTGCCAACTATCCTTACAGTACGTCCAACCACCCGCAGCCTTCTCAGATTCTTTGCAACACCGATAAAAACCGTACTGATCCTCAATTCTTCATTGTTTGAGAGCTATCAAAATCATTCAAAATCCGCATCGGCTATCATCGGCTGGAAATCCTTGTGAGCTTAAGCATGCTATGACTATATATATATAATAAGAGATAGGATTCCAGTGACTGGTCAATTGATTCCAAAAGGGCTAGACCTTGGTTAAACCATCCTGAAAACCCAACCCCTCAGGCAGTATCAGCTTCAAAAACCTGACTGGCCCCCAATTCTTGAGATCTCTGAGTTCTATCTAAACCATTGTTTTTGACCAAACAAACATCAACAAAGATAGAATTCATTCATTCATCATGTCAGATCTACCTGGATCTACCTGAACCAACTATATCCATATCCCCAACCTTCACCGTTCCCAGGTTTGTGCACAAAGCCTTCTCTGGTGCCGTGCTGGGTGCGTTGGTGGTGGTCGTTGGCGTCATGCCTCAACTCCACCGTTCGGAAGCCTCCAGCGACTCGGTGATCTTCACATGACATCCTATCACCGAACTGTTAATTATACCCTCTGGTAAACTAACATAGCTATTGAACATGGCCATTTATAGTGGAATTTCCCATTAAACATGGTGATTTTCCATAGTTATGTTAGTTTACCGGAGGGTATTAATTATGGATATCATTGGGCTGTTGGAAATCACCATCTAGCTATATGGATATCATTATGGAATGGAAATCACATGAAATCACCATCTATATTATATATTGGATATCGGACATCCATCTAATATCAGTCCTGATGGAAATTATGAAAATCCACCATCAAATTATAGTGGAATAAGTGGACATTCACTATCATGGGAAATCATTGCAATGTTATGGAAATCACTGAAATCACTAGCTAATTGGAAAATGTGAAAAATATGATGGAATTCACCATCTAGTTGTGAATTTATGGCTGGTTATGGTGTATAATTTCTGGATGATGGGAATTGTCCACTAGAGGTTATGGATGATGATGGTACTTTTTCCTATAAAATGGTGAGTTTAGCTGGCTATTACCCACTTGAATGTTTCATTTGGTTCAAATAATGTCATGCCCCAGGATTTTCCAAATTGCATCCCCATAAATCTACATCCAAATACATCAGAAATCCTCAGCCAGGCTTGGAACAGAGAAGCCTTCTGACCACATGGGTGGGACTGTCCCTGGTGCTGGTGGGGGTGACTGCAGTGCCTGGTTTGCTGCAGATCCTTTGCATCGAATCTGCGCCTTGGTTGAAGGCACGTCATGGATAGATTCTGCCAAACCAGGTGAGCCATTAAAGATACCCTGGTTGATTCGTTTTTTGCAGGGACTGATGCTACCAAATTTATTGGAGATAATGATGACCAATAATAGGGAAACCATGGGAAACCTATGAACCAACTCGTATCATGAGATGGGATAGGGTGTTTTTAATGTCTCAGGTGGTTCCGGGCATGGCTCGGGTGTAGGGGATGGGATCTTACATAGAATTCGGTATCATTACGCAGTTATCAGCCGTGCTGCGCGTGAAATTGAGCCCCCTCAATTTCACAAGTACCCCTGGATTTGACTTCAAACCCCACAGGTGAAATTTTAGGGGATACCATTTGGAAATCAAACCTGGCTGGAACATCCTGATTGGTAAGGGGCGAGCATTGGTAAATTTGGAAAACAACAGTGCCTTGTTAGATTGCCAGAGGGTTGCAAGTTACACAACTGACATGGCATGTTTTTCGCAGACACCACGGGCATTGAAAGATCAATGTGACATGTGGGTCACTCGTACCACCATACTCTTACCTTGGAAACCCGCATGACATCACAAACCAGTTGCAGTTGCAGCGCGGTTCTTCTATTGGAGTTCATGAAATAAGCCGCCAAACAGTAATTAAATAAACATCACCCAAATCTGGGTAAACCTTGGTTGAGTGGGTTCTTTTTTTTCATGCGGATTGGTTTTGAAGGGTATCATCCAATTGTCACCACTTAGACGGTTATTTAATGTGGCCACCCACTAAGTTGGTGATTTTGGATCATATTTATTCACTTAGATTGTGATTTTAGATTGTTATGAGTATTGTTATCAGTTTTGATGATAGTAATGCCTATCGTCATCACTATTAGATGATATGTATTCGATAACAATTGATTTTATATTATATTGACCTAATAACATAGTTCGATAATAACTCTTGGGGAGCCCATATGCTCCATGTATGGACCATGTATCAACATTTGCCCCAAAAAAATCACCCACATGTAAGTAAATATACCATACATGGAGTATCTCGGGATGGATATATAATCACCAATAACTATTGGGATAACACTGGTTGTTATTCTTATCCCAATATTTATTATTCATATGATCCCAACAGTTATTTGTTGTCATAACTATGGGGATAGCAATATTTTTTTCATAGCTCTTGGGGAGAATGACCAATTCTCGATGAGGTGGAAGACCCAGAGCTGCGCAGCTTCGCCACGGGCTTGGCGCAAGGGGCCAACAACTTCCTGGGCTTCGCCATGGGCAGCTCGGTTTCCGCCTTTTTTTCTCCGACGGGGGCTAGAAACATGGAGGAAAATGGAGGAAAATGAAGGAAAACTTGGGATATCGAATGGCAATATCATGGAATATGAGTATATGAATATATGAATAATGGCAATGAAAAGCGGTAATTTGGACGTTTCCTAAGTCATGGGTACCCTTTAATTCTCCAGTTATTTGGCCATGACTTAGCATTGACACCCATGGTGACTTGAGGATCCCCATTTTAAGACACCACCATTTGGGGCTAGAAACATCTGGGATTTGCTGGTGATTAGAATATAACTAATGAAATATAGTGCTGTTATTAATGGAGTGTGATTATTGGAAATTACTAATAAATAATGGAAGAGAGGTAATGGAATATAATGAAATAAAACATAAAAATGAGAATAGTTTATTTATTCCATGAACAGTTCCTTCGTATAATAATCGCGATATAGTGGAATGTAATGGAATACAATGAACAATTAAGGTAAACAATAGCAACTACTGAGATAAAATAGTCTTGGCAACAATGGCAAATGGCAAAAAATGAACAAATGACGTAAAAACCCACCCTCCAAAAAAAAGGGAAAAGACCACTGGGATACTCATCCCAGACTCATGAATTCTAATGGGATATAATGGATAATCATGGGATAACATGGGGATGACCAGCTATTGATCTATTGAAATGTCCATGTTTTTGAGGGATGCACATCCCAAATGGTTTCCAGGTTTCGACCCATGGACGACAAAATGGGTACTGAAATGGTTTGTTCCTGGGCCTGTCGCACTCATAAAAGGATTCATCCAGTAAACAATGCTATAGATATCTAACTTCGCAGCATCGGTTTCTCCAGCTCCCCATGAACATCATGAACTCGCCGTTTTGGTGTGTGTTTTTTCTCATTCGCCACAGCCATGTTTCTTGTTATTCGATGCTTCCTGTGTTGAAACAAGGGATGAACTTAGGCCCGATGGTTCCACAATTGATGATGGCCACCTGGTTTCAGGATCGCAGGTGGGTCAGAATGGCTTCAGTTGGTCCTGGTGTGCGCAATTCTTTCATATTCTGAAGCCATGTCGATCCAAGATATATCCTAGATATATCCAAGATATTGCACATGATTGTGTAATATTGTGTAATTGTGTATGCAAATTTCACTCCATTTGCTATATTTGCTCCTCATCCCATGTCATCTTTTCAGTAACAGTGTTGGCTGCACGGGAACGGCTAGAAGTCCTGGATCAGGAGAATCTCTGTCCAAATGGTTGCTTTTACATGGCCATAGCCTGTAGTAACAAAGCATGGCAATGGACAAGAACCCATTCCCTTCATATGTTCTTGCAAGTTCTTGCTATTTTTGAGGGCAAAACACCATTGTTTCCTGTAGATTTCCCAAGCAATCCATTGAATTTGGGATTGTCAGTCGGTGTCCCATACTTGGATCGGAGACATAAAACGTTCGGAACCCGTGCGTCCCGTGCGACGTACAGAGTGTTTCATCCTTACTGAACATGTCCAATACCCATAGGATCCATGTATGGTATATATGGTAACATTTACCATCAATATACCCCCAATGTTAGCATATATGCCATACATGGATGCTATGGGATAGGAAGACATGCTATTTTCAGAATTTGGTTCCTTGGAACATCTTGGAACCAACAGATGATGGTTTTTCCTGTAGGAATTGCGGAAGATGACTCGGATGATTGTTTGGGAAATCCACTACTTGGGGAATCGATTAAGGGAATGTAACTTTTTATTTATTTACTTTTTTGGTGATTCCTTAAGCAATTGTTCAAGTTTCCATTACACAATGATTCTCAGCCTCATCATCCTTTGAACATTTATTTGAACATGTACTTGCAACATGTGCTATATGTATAGCTGTATAGCCATGTTTATATACTTAAGATCCAATAAAAACTCCTCCAAGATTGCAAAATATTGCCAAGTATACTAGTATACACATCCAAGAATATAAACATGGCTGTATCTCCATTTCGATGGGTTTCCCATGGTTTCCCAGTGCACAACTCATTGCCGCAATTGCCAAGCTCCAACATGGACCTCTGAGGATTTTTTGGAGTGTCACCTGGGGTGGGGCCATGAGAAGGCGCTGGTCTCTGCCCTGGTCACGGCTTTGCTTGGGACATCTATGGGAGCCGGGCGGCCAAAGTCGAAGATTGGGGTCTCTGAATGTCTCTGAAAATGGGGTAGTTGCCCCAAAAAGTGTGGCTTTTAGTAGGGGGAATGATGATTCACCAGTGGACCCGTCTATTTTCTTTACTTTAAACCTAGTTTCAGACAAACCCATGTGGTCTACAAGTACTATCAGTCTAAGTAATTACTTCATGAAAAAACTAAAAGCTTCTAGATTGTATGTGGCTAGTGATGACCCGATGATATGCTAGAGGACCCATGTCGCTCAAGAGGTTATCGTTTGAGTTCATGTGATCACCCATGGTCGTATTTAGACATATTGTCAATGGGGGCCACCCTCTGCCATTCTTGTGGTTGTGAAAGGGTTGGCAACAAAAGAGAAGGCCCCCCACAAATACGTTCTATACTAATATTGGAAAGGGTTGGAATCAACCAGCAGTTCTTTACTCGGTCCAACCTCACCCAACGTTCGGGATATTTTCCTGGGCCCTTATCTCGGTGGTGCTGGTGCCGGGTGTTTCCTGGACATTTACGACTTATAGACCTGGTGTTTCCAACCCTTTAACATTTGCACAACAGAACCTGTCCATCTTGCATCCCGTCAAAACCTCAGTTTCTGAGCTCCAGAATTTGGGGGAGGATTTGGTCTCGATCACATCTGCTTGGTGTCTTTAAGATTGTCACATTTTTTGCTAAGGGGGTGAGCCCATGAATCAACCCGACATGCCTTAAGCTCCATGAATCTCCTCCGTTTCATCGTTTCTTCTTCTTGTCCCAGAATTGGTTGAAGAATGTTGAAGGGACACTTTTCAGGACACACCCTTATGTGGAAAATTCAACCATAGTTTCCGGGTGTTTTCATTGAATCAACCCGTTGAATTAATGCATTGATACTGTTTTTTTCCCTATAAATTGACCTACAGAATGACTTAGACAATATTGTTCATCCTTGTCATCCATATTCATGTGAGATCATTTGTCAGGGTTATACCATCCTTGTTTGAATCTTACCCTCTGGTAATTTAACATAGCTATTGAAAATCACCATTTTTAATGGGAAAATCCACTATTTCTATGGTCATGTTCAATAGCTATGTTAAATTACCAGAGGGTAATTGCCCTATATTTGATGGTAAAAACCATGGTTTCCTGAAGATTTTCCCTTAAACCAATCCAATGACAATCGCGAGTCGCCGGTGCTTGAGGCTTTCTGCACCACCCTGGCAGTGGCTGCTGTGGACTTCTGCCACGTGCCGAGCGCCAGCGACCTGGAGGGTGAAACAGCGTCCTGGCCGACGAGGATCTGTCGAATGGAGACAACGGATACCCTCTGGTAATGACTAACATAGCTATTGAAAATGGTGATTAATAGTGGATTTTCCATGATTTTCCCATTAAAAATGGTGATTTTCCATGGCTATGTTAGTTTACCAGAGGGTACATCTGGATACGGATACTATGATCATGGATGTTTATGGATATTTATGGCTACTGGACTATAATACTATTTCATGATATTTGAACTTAAGTAGCTGGATATATAAAATGGATGTTTGATCGATAACATGTGAAAGAGAAAGTGATGTGCGATATGCTACGATGGATCGTATATGGCAAGATTATGCAATATTTGCATGCTCATCATAGCTGTATATTTATTCACATATATTTTGATATATTGTATAGTTCAACATTGGATGACCTTTTTCTGTCCTCGGGAATCAATCATCTCTCCATTTACAGAGGGATTTCCCAGATCAAAGCTCAGGAAAGGTATCCATCAGCCTGGGGGTCAACAATCAGACATTAAGCGGTTCGTAATTCATAACTGGGGTATCATGGGGTATCTCCCACAAAGAAACATCGCAAAATGGTCTAGATGATGATCCAAAAAAAACATGCCTGGGATGAACATGTTCAGTGCTGTCCAGCTTCTGGGAGGGATAGGCGACCAGGACCATGTGTCCCGAATCGGAAGAAGTAAAGACTGTCAACTGTGAACAGTGCGAAGATCCTTTGAACACAACAACTACTGTAAAGTATATTAAAGTACTAAAGCTCAATGACATTTACTCGCAAAGTTCAATGACTCCTTGCAAATGGTTTACAACATGACACAATAGATACTACTGTGGTTAAAGCAATCGTAAACGATCCCCAAGTCCCAAGTCACCATAAAGGGGTGGTATACGCCATGCAAAGCCTTCCCAGTGACACCGCTGTCAGGAAAGTACGAGCATCAGTCACGTCTCAGGCAGTGAAGGCGAGTGCTCCTCGCGAAGCTTCCCGGAGCCGGTTGGAAATTATCGAAGTTGAGGCTTTGATGCGATATTTTATCCATATGTTTGAAGAGAGGTGTGGATGTCAACCAACCAGGCTTATAGATTATAGATTATAGATTTTATGATTATATTATATTATACTATACTTTACTATGTTATATTAAATATTATTTGCAATATGATATTATATACATATTATTCATACAGTGATTGGGATATGGTAAGACAACAAAATGACTTGGGTTTGTCCAACTCTGCAGGGCACTCCAAAATTTGCCGTTCGAATGCGACTATGCTGAATGAACCATGGGACTTTATAGAGTATACCCTATTTTCAGACAACTTATGTAGAGTCATGTATCCTTTTCCCGCTGGTCAATAAATTGATTCATAGAGAACCCCCCCATTGAACACACAATGTGTGAAAGGTACTGAACTGGCCCCTATTGGTGCCAAAAGGGCATTTTTGTTTGCTGTTTACAATGTTACGGATCACAGCACGGTCGATGCTAATGAAGGCGGCTTGTGCATTTGCCCAGTTTGTCAAAGGGTAGATGTGGAGGGGCTTGGGTATGAATCATAATGATTTAGATATACCCCAATCGAAGCGATACATGAAGATAAATGGATACTGACTGAAGTCGAACACATGGAGTGGTGTGGTATAGGTCCCACGGTATCAAGCCTCAATTTATTTCTCCCTCAAGCAGCTACAGATCTGCGTTGAGAGATTTGTGGATGCAGTGGCAAAGATGAAGCCGCAGTGTCCTAGAACGTTTTTGTTGATGCCAAAGGACTTTTACTTATGTGACGCTCAGAAATTTGTTTTTTTGGTTTGTTTTCCTCATGCAGTGTGT